ACAGTTTGTGGTGGTGCATAATATTGAGGACTCTCCATCACTTAATGAGGTATGAATCAGTCTTCCTCCCCACATTCAATGATGCACAAAAATTGAATAAGAAAGAGTAATGAGAATGGGGGTTTTGGAGGGGGTAAAGAATGAATGTATTTATAGAATAAAATAGAGTGGGTACGTTTGGTGTCCGGGTCGACGTACGGAAAGAGAAAGTTGTTGAGGGTCCTATTTGCTTAGGTGCCCAGCATCATCTCTCTCTGTATGGCCTACTTTCTTTTTTTTGTGTAGTGGAATTAATACTAACCATTCTAACCTATACATTATAATATGCATTCTTTTGATTGTTTGGTATGGAATAAAAAGCATCAAACTCTTTTTTGAAGTATATATTCTCTCGGTTTAAATTAGGGAAACGTGATAGAGCTAGAATTTTTATTAAGAGCTGCTAAAATATGAAGTAAAAAAGTATATTTTCTTCACTTTTAAATATGGAGTCGTTTGGTGTGAGGAATAGTGATAGGATAAGGAAATAGTGATGGAATAAAATTTTTGTCTGTTGTTTGGTTGTAATGTTTGGGATAACTTATCCCACCGTTCATATCATAGTGATGAGCTCATATACATGGTAGGATAAGTTATCTCAGGATAGCTAATTAATCCCATTAGATAACTTGTTTTCAACCAAGCGACCCCTTGAAATTTAGGGATTAGTTTGAGGGAAGGTTAGGAAGTGAATTATATGTTTATTAAAGCTAGTATAATGGATCTTATATTCCTTTGCCTTTACATTTACAACTTTATTGAAATTGATCCAAACACTTGATACTTGATGAATTATGGATAAATTTAATTTCTTACACGATACATACTTTTGTGAGTCGAATTTAATTAACACCTCTAGTAATGGAAAAGTGTAAGATTTAATGGAAAATATAACAAAATATAAAACTTGAACAAAAACAAAGAATGATAACAATGATGATACGATGATGTCATAGTACACATGACCCAAAAAAAAAAAGAAGAGGACACTATAGTACTAAAGTAAATAATGGAATGGGGAGAAGAATTTTCCAAATTTTTTTGAAACTGACTTTAAAATCTGCTGGTTTTTTGAAAAGCTAAAATTTGGAAAATGCCATTCAGCTGGCGAAAACTGGAAAGCAATCTCCGTATTTCAACTTGCGTTTTCTTCAGATATTTATATTTTCACTATCTACTCGATGAATTCCTTTCAGACCCTAACAAAATCAAAATTCAAACAAGAATACATTTGTAGTTTTTGAGAAATTATGAAGTAAAACATTAAAAGGCCGAGCGGGCGTGAGTATCATTTTCGGATACAACAATTTAAAAAGTAAGGAAAATCCGTATTACGGATGGAAGTAGACAAAAAAGTGGAAATCCCCATGATGGCATAATTGTCCGACACTACGTTCCTCGATCTTCAAAGAAAACTGACTCCTCCTACTCCTCCTTCTCCTTTAGGATAGGACATATTTTTGTTAATTTTTACTTTTTGTCTTGAAAATATTTGTCTGGTTACACTTAACTGTTCTATTTGGTTGTAGTTTTAAAAGATAAAAATAGTTGATAGCTTTATTGTTTTTTTAAATTATAATGAGTATATAATTTTAATGGATCTCAATCATAAATTATTATATAGTACATGACATAAATTTATAAGATCATTGAACATTGCTTGTCCTAATTATACTTGATCGAATCTTTATCCGCAATCTTTTAGATTACTCAACATGTTCAACTATATATATCTCCTTTTTTTTTTCCTCTTCTCAATCGGTATAAGAATAATTCACCTACACTTTATTAAAATAAAATGGATCTGTTGTACTTTGATTCCTGTATTGAATTTGTTTAATTATTTCATTTTTTTGTGTATCAGGTTTCGATTATTTGAGAATCGTTTTGTTGTGAGAGAATTGTCAATTAGTGTCTGTTTTGTTTTTATTTTATTTCAGTTATTATTGTACACAATTTTTAGATATGTACGGACAATATAATACTAAAATTAAAATAATTGTAGTCCATTAGGCTAATATGATTTGTTTTCTGTTTCGATATTTATATTGTTGTACAAATGGCAGTACCTTAGAATACTTTTTTTTTTTAATGTACGTCTCACTGACAAAGGATACAGTCCTTTATTCTTTTTAATTAGGTACAAATAGTATCAGTTGAATTATAGCAAATGGAACAAGACGTTAGTTGTATAATGAGTGTAGCATTATATGAATTGGAGTTTGGAATCAAAATCATGCAAATAAAAAAGGAAGGAATACATATCAAGTGATCATGACTAAAGTAATATTAAAAAAAAAGTTATTTACAAATAGCCTATGCTCTCGATTAAATTGCAAAAACAGTAAATGTTCATTAATTCAAAATAGTAAAGTTGCGCGCTTTCAATTATATTGTTACTCTAAAATGATTGTTTAATATGAGTTGTAACTATTTAGACGTATTTTCATGATATATGGTGCAACACACAACTTATAATAAGATAACACTTGCTAGATATTCGATATGTAAAATCTGATGTAATATCCATTGCGAATAACTGAATTTGTCTTCAAACATGATTAACCTATAGTTGAAAAACTCACATGTCATATAATTTCATTTTAATTTATATAGTATAATTTGATTAAACATGTAAATTAAGTAAAATGATGAAGATTATTTGGGGACACACACCTGGAGATATAAAATTAGAGACCTGATTATCTCATTTATACGAAAAAATTGTTTTTTCGAAAATTAAGTTATTATATTTTATTTTTTACAAAATGATTCGGTAAAAATATACAATAGCTTACAAAAAAAACATACAATTATGTTATTGTATATATTTTGTTTGTTTGCATGTCGGATATATTGGACATACAAATAAATATACACCCCATATACAAAATACATATAATTTATTGTTTATCTTGCTCTCGGGATTCCATCTGAATTACTCTAATCTTTACCAAACTATTTTAAAATTGAAAGATCTCAATCATTTGCAACAACACCCGATTCATATATAAGTAACAATTTCGCATAATCAAAATTTTTGAATTAAAAAAGTCGTGAATCCTTTTAATGGTTGTCTGTAAAATTCTTAATGGAGTTCACAACTTTGGGTGTAACTAAAATCGATAACTCGAATAGAACAAAAATTATTGGTTTATTAATACTGGGTTATTGATTTAGCGATTTTGATAATAGTTTTGATTTTTTTTTGTTATCGAGCTATCGGTTTTTAACTGATTGAGGTTTTCTCTTAACGGGTTAATCAATAACCCGATAGTAAATTAAATAATTATATTTATAAGTATCATTTTGTATATAAAGTTCTTGACTTAGAGTTTGGTTTCCTACTCTTTTTTTTTCTAGTTGTCTCAAACACTTGGTTATTTTACGGTATAAAATTATTTAATTTTGAGCAAGATGTAACCTGTGAAGTCATAAGCATGACTCATTTGATTCGTCACCTTGTTTTTAAATGATTTTCAATATTGTTTTTTTATGTCAAATCTCCAGTTAAATTGATAACCGAGCAATAACAATCGAAAACTAGTATGTCAATGTCTTAATGGTTCTATAACAATTTAACATCTCTACAAATTGATAAACAATCTGATAAACTTTAAAACCAAATTGACCGATATGCGAGCTATAGGGTGATAGAAAAAGTGGAATTGTGGAACTTAATCTCTCTTACTCTTCCTATATTATTTGACTAGAATTGGTAAAATATTGTTACTATCAAATATAAGTACCCTAAATAGTTGCAATTAAGACTTAAAATGACTTATATGAGTTTATAACATGTCTTAATATTTATACAATCATAAAAGTTTTGAGTTTAAAACATGTCTTAATATTCATACAATCATAAAATTTTTGAATTTAAAACATGTCTTGATATTCATACAATCATAAAATTGATGAAACTTTCGATTTAAACATATCATAATACTTATGCAATTACAAAAGGTAAAATGATATAAAATATGTTAATTTTGCTATTGTAAAATAAAATAGTGTAAGTAAACTAAAGCAAAGTAAACAAATAGAGAAAAAAAAAGGAAGAGAAAAGATATTTTCAAAATTTGTGACCCTTTGGGTATGTAAAGGACGCAACAGAAATTGGTGACATTTAATTTAGTGTTTCCCTCTACATATTAAAATATTAAATAACTGGGACATGGAACACGTCTTTTCACATACGATATTTTATATGTTCATCCACAAAATTCTACCTAATTAGGGACCCTCTAGAGTTCATGGTGAAAAACTCTATATCGGTGAGATACAAAAAGAAGATTGTTTGATTTGCTTTTACAGTAGTATAATACTTCTTTCAATTTTAGGACCCCATTGGTTATCTGATCACGAAATGTATGTTTGCCTGGAAAAATATTACTCGTAGAATATGAGAAAATTATGTTAAATATTGTGTTGATAGATCTTTGTCACGACTCGTAATTAATTAGTTGTACTAACTATTGATTGTGTTATTAATAGCTTTTATTAAAATATTACTCTTTTTGTTTTTAATGAATTGATCACTTTTCTTTGTTTAGTTATTTCTAATTATTTGTCTATTTTAATAATTTAAGAAAGGATAATTTTATTTTTATCTATTATACCTTTAATTTATTACTTTGAAAAACGTAAATTTTTTGAAAATCGATCTTTTAAGAATATAATCAAATTATAAAACACTTTAATCTTTTAGATGAGATAGTCACACACTTCAACATGATATCAGAGCTGACAAAGGTAAGGAGAATGTTATAATATTAGAGAATGTGTTATCTATGTGATACTTTTTCTTTTTTTTTTAATCAATCTTATAAAAATTGACATATTTCTATAATATATGACTTGTTTTAAATTACAAAGTTTTAAAATACAATTTTAAATTTAATATCCAATCAAACAACCTGACAATGATATAAACAAACTAATTTGCTCGTCAAGGATTCAAAACTTACAATATTTGTGAGTAGGATATTTAAATAATCCTTGATGTATAATAGTCTTTAATGTTACAAACAAAATGGAGACTTTTGGTCCTGAACCTAAACGTACAAGTCAAAATACGTTGAACTTACCAACGTCAAAAATTTTAGTTGTGATTTTGGGGAAGTTTTAGTTAAGGTTGCACTGAACAAATCACTTTAGCAGGCATTGGACAAATGGTGCGTTAATTACAAATAAAAAACTTGGTAATTTGGTTGAACCACAATTGAATCTATACATTACACACCAATGTTGTAAAATCAGTTCTACAAAAGTAATCCCACTACCATACGAATTGGCTTAGGTGAAGGCGAAGGCGGCAGCTGCACCTCTTCAGCTACCTTTTCCGGTCGTGGTGGCTGGCATGGACATGGCAATGCTATGAATTTTGGAACTTCATCACCTGGCATTAACACTGCAGGCATGTTTTGGCTTTGGTTCTGCTTTTCACTCTGCAAAACAGAGTTATTTATAGAAATACACTCATAAATTAGTTTGATGAATATGTCACGTAATCACATAGGTAAATAAATTGTTTTAGCCTAAAACTTTACAAAGAATAACAGAAGAAGGAGAGAACTTTTGATTGTCCAAAATTGCTAATTAAAATTGGAAAACTCAATTAACAATACCGTCCTTATTTATATATATTCAGATTATTCTATGATTTAATACAAATATCTAATTTTCTAGAACAATCTATTTATTTCTTACCAACAATAAATATTACTTTTCCAAACTCCACTAAATATCTTGAAATCAAATTTGCACTATCGGGTAAATTACATAATTGAAATGGTATTATATAGAAAAGGAACAAACAGTAATTTTCACGTAATTAATTAGATTTATTTAAGGAAGAAAAGATTACCCAAAGACTTAAAAATTAGAGTCTATAAGTAACATATAAACCGACAACATAAATAACATTTTTACACTTGTAAAAGTATCTTCGGGAAATTTGCTCATCTTAAAAATAAAAAACGTAATTTGTTACTGTGAAATTAGGTCTTAGGCATAACTCACACCTCAAAAGTTAACTCAAAAGGAGGAGGATTGCCTAAGCCTTATTAAGGAGTCCACCCATTTTGATGTGGGACTTTTGTCTTTCTTTTAACACCCCTCCTCACGCCCAGTGCTTAACATCTGGTGCATGGGCAATTTTGATTTTGGGGATCACAACATCGGTGAGACGGATCCTGCTTTGATACCATGTGAAATTAGGTTCTAGGCGTAACTCACATCTCAAAAAGCTAGCTCAATTGCCTAAGCCTTATTAAAGAGTCCACCCATTTCATTAATAACCGATGTGAGACTTTGTCATTCTTTAACAGTTATAACAAGTAAATACTTGTGTATGAATGGACTTATGAAATGTTAGAAGCAATTGAGTAAATTCCTTACCATGTTATAATTGAGTTTATATTTGACGGAAGCAGGATCATCGCCTGCTTCGAGGTCTGCGCGTCGACGAAGCAAGCGGATTCTGTTCCAGTGATAACAGCAAGAAAATATACCACTCAGACTGAAAACAGCAACCAAGAGAAAGGCAGTGCCAAGAGGAAATCCTAGAGATGATGAGTCCGCAAGGCGGTAGGGTGCATAATACTGAGGATGCTCCATAATTACTATTTAAAGTTAACAATTGGAAAGTTTGTTTATTAAGAAAAAAAAATGGGGGAAGGAGATAGTATTGGATATTTGTTGAGTTGTGAGTAAAGAAAAGGTGATATAGGTGGGTAAGAATTTATAAACTTCAATGTGTGTGTGTAGGTGTAAAAGTACGGTTGCACTCTCATGCTAAGGTACGGAAGAAAATTAAAAAAATGGGGACCTAGCTATTTCATTAATTTGTTATTCTTTGTCAAAGTACTGTGGGTTTAAAACATGCTTTCAAATTCTTTTATATATCCAACTATATGTGTGTCTAAACATGCTTTCTGGTTATATATATATATATATACACTCGGATTCACGCTACCTTCTTGTTTTGATTTTAAGGCGGTATATTCAAGTTAATAATTGTAAACTTTGACAATAATAAATTAGACAGCGAAAAGAAGTTACAATAAAAAATTATTCTTTTATTTGTTCACTTTTAATTGACACACTTATTAAGAAGCAATGGTTGACATAGTGAGCTTATCATTTATCTTATTAATTATGAAGTTAATAAATCAAATAATTTAAGATTTTCAAGACCTTTTCAAATTAATCAATTGAACATATAATAAATAAAAAAAAAATTGTACTTTCTTGATTTGTTAAAAATAAATAAATAAAAAGAATCATATAAAAAATAAAAATTCGACAAATAATTAGAAACAAAAGGAGTATAATAAAAGAAGCAACATATTCAATATAGTTTGATGAAATGACTTATATATTGAAAAATTAATTTAAAAAAAATCCACCCCCGCCGCCTAAATAAAACTCGTTATGACTGCACTGAGAATATTATTGTTATGTTTTTTTGCAAGGAAACTAGATTTTCAATATATAAAGGTCCAAAGTTTTGATTTCGATATGAAATTGTCGAGCAATAGATTAAAGATAAAGTGCCCTGTGTGAGATTTGGGGGCTGTCTTTCCTCCTATATTTACCATTATAGTTACATAAATATCATTACATGTCTAATATCATTAGTTCCAGAGTATATTTGATAAGTAGCCATCTTTGTTAAATTTTGTATTCAATCAAATACTAAAGTAAAAAAAAATCAGATGCCATAATTTACATTATATATTTGAGCTGACGAAAACAATGGAAAGCAGCTCTGTCTTTTATGCTATTGTCATTCCCTTATCCACCATTTATGTATAGACGTCAACTTGCGCATTATACTTTTCTATGTAGAATTTAGGTTACCTTACTTTCTTGTCTACCACTTTGGTGGGATGGTCATGCCCTATTCCAATCTTCATTGTCATATTTTTCTTTTTCAAACTTTAGTATGCTTGTCCTATTTTTGCTTCTAGAAATTATTTTATTTCATTTTATATCGTCACTACTTATCTAAATGTTAAATTCTATGTCACATAAAATAAAAAGATTAGGATAAGATATATACATTAGTTGAGATTAGGTGAACAGAAATTTAATTACAATTGCATTGAGTTATCACTTATCAGGGTTGTCAGGAAAATCACATTAGCTTGGTGCAGTACAATTTTAGTTAATAGGTCCAACTACATTACTTCTTTGAGCCAAAGGACCTTAGAATTTTATCTTTTGTACGGAGACGGAATGTATTCGATATGGAGGAATTTTCTCACGTTCAGTTGGTCAAATTTTTTTAGAGGATATAAATCGCTTAAACAAAAAAAAGAAAAAGAACATGAGTTAATGGAAGTATGAAAAATAAGTTTGGTAAATGTGATGATTGTATTAATTTTATCGTCCAGCACACTTCATCTTCACCCCTACTCTCATAATTCCGATTCCTTTCTAACACCATATCTTATATTATTTGTCTAGATTATTTATGAATGTGCATTTTAGGATAATGTTTTTTATTTATATACCAAACACAAGAAAGAGTTTTGATTTTGAGATTTATAGCTTATACGTATAAAAATTGAAATCGTTTTGTTAGGAAGTGTTTGACTTTCTGACTCAAATATTCAGGGCTATATGATGTAATAAATTTACTATTCAAATTGGTTTTACTTGTAATTAAAACTATGAAAAAGTAGTTGGGCAGTTTATTGCTTCATGATCAAGAGTTGTGACCCTTTGGGTTCTTAAAGGCCACAACAGAATTTACTTACATTCATTTAATATGATCGTCTTCACTACAATGAAAATATTAATGAAATGGGGCATGGAACACGTCTTTTCTTTGACTACTTTTTTTTTTTTAATTCAATTGAATTTAGGACTGTATGACATTATATTCAACGACAAAAAATAAAATTAAAGAGATTTTAGCTAAAGCAAGTAGGGACCTTGCATTCTGTGTATCAACAAAAGACAACGTGAAACCTTGAGTTCTTTAGTGCCGTTTGCTTCAAAATTTTGCAAAATTTTTTATTGGTTTGAGCTATTTTTCCGATAAGATTTAAAAACTTAATTTTGTTGGAGTTCTGAGAGAACTTATAAGAAACTTACTTTTTTTTCTATTGACAAATATTACTTTCTCGATTTCATATTAATTTAATTTTTGAGACATTGTTCAGTTTTTAAGATTACTTTTAGAGTATTTTTTCAATTTTATCCTTCATTAATTAGAATTGAAATTAGTAATTAATAAATATTTAGTTACTTTAACTATAAATTTGACAATAATTAATAAGGGTAAAAATAGAAAAATATGTTCATTTTATGTTTTAATCTACTTTTCTCAAAGGGTATGAATCACCTCAAAAATTAAGTTAATATGGAATGAAGAAAGTACACTCTATTAAATACTTTGTTAGATATACTTTGACCTGACATAAAATTTAATTAATTTTTTTTTTGAAATTTATTGTTAAAATATACAATAAATTTTATGGTATTGACACGATATAAAACTTTTGAAACCCTTGGACTTAAAAAACGCCATAGGTGTCATTTGTGTATATAGCTACAAAATATTTTTATCGAATAATATATCATCGCTTTTAACAACTTTATGAAAGAAAAATAATGTCAAATAAAATAAAACGAATAAGAATTTGACTTTTTCTTTAAAAAAAAAATACATATATTCAAAAATAGAGTTTGCAGAGTCTAAATTAGAAGTCAAGAAGGAGTTCACTACAAAAACTTGCAAGTTTCGTGCTACATGCCTGGAACAAATATTATTCAACAAAATCTACCTAAAATAATTAGGGTCCACGCAAAGGATAATGACAATTTATGTGAAATTTAGACCATCCAGCTCCTAATACAAACAATTGAAATTTGGGGAACATATATATATTTTAACAAGTTCATTGCCCTAGACATAAATGCCATTGAATGAGACCCTTCGTCCATGTTTAGTCGTTTATATTTGACTTGATATGTTATTTTATAAGTAATTAGAAATAAAATAATGATTTTACTAATAAGTGAACTAAATGCTGCAATATAAATAATAGAAAAATAGAAAAAGAATTTCTAAACTAGATAAATAAAAATAAATAATTATTTTTAAATAAAATAAACAAATAATAAAAAGAAAAAAAGCTAAAAATTTTATAAAGATGATGACAACGACTAAGGATATCAAAGATTGGAAGTCTTCTATACAAAAGTATTCTTTTATATCCACCTCAAGATATTCAAATCTCTCCTATTTCTTTTTTTTTTTTTTTATGTTTTCCCACACAATTCATTTTCTTAATTGTCGTGGGCCAAAAAAAAAAGAAAAATAAATGAAGTCTTGTAGTACGTTTTGTGTTTTATTTATATGATGATAGGAAGACACTTTCTCCTAGTCTGATTGAAAATAAATTATTTTAAAATTAATAAAATATAATTTATCTCTCGTATTAATCGAGCAAAAATAAAATTGATTACAAAAAGACGAGACAACTAAAGGCTGGACCATATATATCAAAATGGCTGGATTAAAATAGCCACTTATATTTCTGCGTCGATATGCCTCATCCAAGACCTGATTTGCAGGTCCACTATACTCATCTACCCTTTTAGCAAGGGCATATATAAAATTCTATGTTTTGTTATAAATATGAGAATCTTGCGATTTGTGAAGATTATTAAAAGTTTTTTAATCATAAATAATTTTATTAAATGAGCAAATTATAGTTTATACTTGGGAATAAAATTTTAAGGAAGTTAAATCAACTCTTTTACTGTATTGGCCTTGTTCCAACTGTTAGCATTTTTTTCTACTAAGTTCAAAGAAATTTGTGTTTTTCCAACTCATTAGCGTTTTCTTCCTCTAAGTTAAAAGAAATTTGAGATGTTGAACTTGATTTTAAAATCTTTGAAAATATACTTTAGAATAATATCTCTCCATTTGAATTGATCTGAATTACAAACTTAAATAAAGTAGATAACTTTAAATAATTTTAAGAAATTAAATTCATAAAAAAATTAATGATTATTCAAGAAATTTCAACTAAAATTATGAAGATCGGAGATAAAAAGAAAATTTATACTATTAACAGAAAGCCCGCAATAGTATCAAGCCATCGACGTCAATAACACTTGCAATTTGCAGACTCGAAGGTTTCTTTTCAACTTAGGCTTTACTTTATAGCTTATTATTTTGTCCAACTCCGATTTGAACAACTAATAAAATTTCTATAATGGTAACAAATTGTATTCTAGTTCAATTGGTTTATTTTAGGTTAATTTAACTAGGAATAGAGAGGTTGGACATTCGAATCCCTTTGAAACTTTTCTCAAAACGCCCCAAAAATAAAACAAATTTGATACTATTGAGATTAAAAATATGTATACACCCTGTGAAATAATAGTTTTGCGCGACGTGCAAAACAAGCCACGAAGTCGATTTGATGAAAGAGTGTCATTAATAATATTTGTAGTTCTTGTTTATTTTTCAGATTTTTGTACATATATATATTAAAAAATTTCAGTGAAGCAATGTCAGTTGACACCCCACGATATAAGGTGAGTTTGCCTCTGTATATATGTATGTATATTTATAGAAACTTAATATAATTAACGATGGCCAATGAAAAGTATAAATATGTGATTTGTACCTCTAGTACATGTTTAGACATCCACCCACGTGACAAGGGTTCTATCCCAACTAGAACCTTTTTTTTTAAACTTAGTATTGGTGTATTCGAATTTTTCAAATCTTAGGTTCACCTCTGCATTCACAAGATATAATATTTTTTAATGCATTGTATTACTATATCATATATCTCCATGTTGTTTTTATAAATAAATGTTTGTGATTATAAATTTTCATAAACATAATTTTACGAAGATCGACTAATCAATAATGATAGTAACTAGTTATTCTATAATATGATTCTTTCACGTGTTATATACCGTCTTTTCACACTAAGAATGATTATTTTTTCTTAATTTAAAAATGGTGGATATTTTATTTTTATAAAATCTAAAATTATTAGTTAAGTTATACATTTAAAAAAATAAATCGACATATACTATATATATATATCTGATATACAATAATATACAAGACATTCATTCTTGATATACAATATTAGACTGCCAAGTACCAATATAAAAGATTATACAAAATCATAAGATATTTTTTTAGCTCAAATACAATATTATTTTGATTCTATACACTATTTTACAAATTAAAATTTAGTCAAACTTCACCAATTGATTTCTACGAAAATAACAAAATAAAATCTTCTGTGGAAATGTAGAGAGGTAGATTCAGTACTAATAACCTATTATTTCAATTGATGAGATATCATGAATCAAGACAAAAGTTGATTATCAAATGTTTTGAAAGTGATTGACATGTTGCTCTTATAATTTACCACGCATTTGTAATTTGCGATTCTGAAGTTGTGGAATAAATTTTGAGATAATTCTTGTTGTATTGAATTAGATTCAAAATCTATTATTTAGTACTAATTACTTTGAATTTTTTGGGAAGTTGAGAGGGGGCTGTGGCCATGACAGTGTTTTAGGGCCTCTCCTCTGTTGACCAATTCAAATAAGCATCGGACACCTTAGCTAAATTTTGTAAAAGTAATTTTATGGACTATACTAGGATGTAACTATATTTGAGGAATCGTAAATAGCCATTATGATGAATTTAATTAGTAAAAATTTAAGGAATCCCATAGTGTAATTCAATAATTACACTCTGTCCCGATAAATTTAGTATTTATAAAAAAATTCCTTAAATTTGTTATGCTGTGATACTTTAGACTCTAGTGATACATGGTAAATGATACATGGTAAGTTTAAACTGTTGAGAAAAAAAATGGGGAAAAAACGCTTCATTTTACTAAAAAAGCTTAATTTACGGTAACAGATCATTAATCAGCATAAATTCAGCACGTAATTGGATATTAATCTCAAATTTTGAAAATCAAAGATTATATCATCTATTTTGAATACATTTTTTATGAACAATCTGTTAAATTTTGAACTACAGTAATTTTATTGTTGTTACTGTGGATTTTTCAAGATGAATACTTCAATTTTGATGAGACATTCCGGAATTTGGGTGAACGAATTGCATTATGAAAGTTACAAAATCGACGAAATCGTTGTTGGAGATTCAATTTCGTTTTCTAATCTCAAAGCAGCAATTGCAGCCGAGTTGGATATTGATGTATCAAGGAAAGAAATTGATATTTGATACATTGTAGAAGGTATTTGTTGTTTAGTTGATGTACTGATACATTGTGGTACATATCTAATACATGTATCATCAAGCATGTATCAGTACATCAACTAAACAACTAATACCTTAATGATACATGATATCAGTTTTCAGAAAATTCATACTAATGAAAAACATGTGATACATATCTACTACATGTATCAGTGCATTGACTAAACATTATAACATGTGGTACATATCTAATACATGTATCAGTACATCGACTAAACACTATACACACTGATTCTATATGTATCATCAAGCACAGTTGATAACGCAGTTATTAAACTTATTGAATGGTACATTATAACAATTTTCAGAACTTCATGATACATGATAATAATTTTCATGATTTTTTGATACATATTGAATTCCTTAAAATTTTTACTAATTTCAACAACAGTTTTAAGTACCAAAATACTAACCCGAGACAATGTAGGCCTAACAACAATGTTTGCTGCTTCTTTTTCTTTTTTTTGTTGTATTTTGACAACCTTTGATTTTAATGTTTCGCCAGAGTCTTTGTTTGAATCCTTCTGAAGATTTATAGGATCATGCAAAGACTTTTTTCTATTTTCTTTCCAATTTTCATCGTCAGAATCATATATCCTTCTATTAATTAACGGACACATTACTATGATGTAATAGAACAATTAACAAAAACAAAAAAGGGAAGAAAAGAAGAACTGATGATGGATTAAGAAGAAAAAGATGCTGGGTTAAAACGATGATAGATTAAGAAGAAAAAGACGATGATGGATTAAGAAGAAAAAGAAGAAACTAATAAAATATGCTGGGTTAAGAGG